ATGCGCACGGTGTCTAACGAATAATGGAGGTTACCCAGGGAGATTTCGGGCGAGGGCAACGTGGCAACCAGAATTCACCGCTCCAGAACGGAGCCTGGGGGCAGGCAGGGAGACGATCGTCGAAAGAACGTCTACGGATGTTTACGAACCTGAATTTGGGCGCGCTTGACCTCGGTGTAGAGCCAGTTGTCCGTGGAAAAGGCGATCACCAGGAGACCAGTGGCAATGATACCGGTTATGGTCGCGAGGGACAGCGTCACCGCGGAACAGGGCATCTTGGTATCCTTCTTCTTTATTTCAAGTCGATTTTCCCGGTCGACTCCACTCTCGTCTCCGTTACGTTCACCTCACACGGCACCACTGCAACGAGCTACGATGCTGAGAACTGGTCGTCGTCGTCCTCCAAGACTCGCGAGCATCCGTGGAAAAAAAAAAAAGATCGGCACGAAACGGGTCACGAATCGGTTCGCGAATCCGTACGGCGATGGATTCGTTCCGTTTGCGTCTATCGCGGTCGGAAGAAGCCGCGGAACCGGGGGCCCAACGGAGGAAGGTGAAGAGGACGGTGGATCGGGCCGATTTCGAACGATGACGACGTCCTTCAGGGTGCACGATACTCCGCGATACGCATTACTACCATTCTCTCCTACGACAACGACACTAACGGCCCGACTCACCTCGGAGAAAAGCCGAGAGCCGACCAAGGAGAGAGAACCGGACCCCAGGTGGGGATGGATGTAGCCCCGGGCAGGTATATTACCTGTGTTTTACCTCCAGCGGTGCTCAATACTCCTCCTCGTGCTTCGACTTCGTACAGAGACGGACGGAATTTTATTCCAATAACGCGTTCACCGCCAGGCTAACGCTCTTAATCATTTCTACCGTTCGCTATTGGACACTACGTAATCAAACGTTTATCGCGGTATTTATATTTCTAACTTCGTCGAAATTCAAGGATTTCGTTCTTGCGGTTTCTTTCACGCTTAACGTTAAGAATGAATTTTTTTGGTTACCAAGTGAAAAGCACTTGTTATCCATATATGGACGACGTGGCGGTTAATGCGATAATCACGGGTCCAAGTTTAGACTTGTACAGAAAAAGACATATCGTACAGAGGGAATTTTGGTTAAGTTCAAGGATTCGTTCGACACCCGTTATAGTACTATTTTCGTTTAACCAATTTATTGGATTACGAATTAGTTCTCGGCATTTCGATATTTACCGCTGACGTGATCTTTTCATTTATGATTATACATTTGTTCCCCGCTTTAGTTACTATTAATGCGTAAATACGCGAAGAGAGCTGCAAGTAACGGGGCCGAAACGTCGTTTCTAATTAATCATTTCATACATCACTACGAGGCTTCGGCAAATAAATGTTTGCACTCGCATATTAACAAGTTAGGAATCGCTGTCTTCGCGATCGTAATTTATTATTCGTGTGATATAAAGTCGACGCGTCCTAAGTTCGTACCGTTTTCGTTCGAGCTGAATTCTCTTTATCCGCCATTATAGACGATAATAATAAACGTTAACTCCTCGATCGAATAAACGTCACGGATAAATTACTATCTTTTTCACGGCTCTTGCGAAGATTTCAATGCCCGCACGTACAAGTTTCTTTGCATGCGACGAATCGTCTAAGAACCAATTTACCTTCGTGCTCTGATCGCTGTATAGATAAAATTACGTCGAATCGAGCATTCCGCCAAAACGATTCGAGATAAAGAACGGACGAGAGTCAACGGGACGGTGAAATGAGAACAGTTTCGCCGTAACTGTCTACCTGCTTCCATAAAGCATTCCTTCCTTGTTCCTTTACCAAACAATCCCACCACCGGTGAGATAAAGTCGATGCAAACGCCCAGGGAGAACCGAGGAATTCCTTGCATTCTACTGTATCACCGCGGATCTTTGATCGTTTTACGCCTGCAACCTTGGCTACCACGGGACGCAATCTTTTTTAACAGGTCTCGATTAATTTTGACCCGTGCGTAATCCCTTTGAATACCTGTCGGTGACGGATTGCCTAGGCGAACGTGAGAAGCACCTGCGTACCTGCGGGCTGGTCAAGTCCCCGGTATGCAGGTACCAGGCATTTTTGCGCGAATAATGGGATTTCAGGCCTAATTGCTCGCGGCGACTTTGAACATGTCAACGACTAATTATTGTAGACGAAGCAAACCCGCGTCCTCGCGAAAAATGAAAAATTGTAAAATTACGCTTGACACGTTGGTTATTGTTACGACTTTCGAGTCGCGCGGAGTTATCGAGGGTAAACACACGCGTCTTAATAGCATAAAATTATATATCTTGGCTCAGTTCCGTTATTTCCATTTATTTGAAACTCGTTCCTCGCTAGGATCGCGAATAAGTAACTGGTTGGATTTCTTTTCGTATAATTAGATAGTTCCATGTAGAGTTTTATTTATTAACGAGTAACAAGAAATAGAAGTAGAGCGACATGTCAATTAAACTTTAATATCGAAGGATCGTACGGTGTGCCTTCGAAAGGGGATCCTTTTGCGTCCCATGCCTTCTTTAAGATCTTCTCCATTTTCTGTAAATAGAGTTTTCATTAAAAAAAAAAACAAAAAATAAAAATGATATCTTCTCTATCGCGTTACCAATTTCGAGCCTTCGTTCCTTACAATTTGCTCGGAAGTTGGCTTGCCCAGAAGCTTTTGCTGATGATTCCACATCAACTCTTGAACCTTCATTTGCTCCTCTGACCCCATTTCATCCAAATTTCTTGAACAGTCGATTTTACTTAATTCGATTTTTGGCTCGCCGACGATTAATGCTTCCCACCACCGGTCGGAGGCTTTTTCAAAATGAATCTACAATAAAATGCAAAAGATACGCAATGTAGCGCTTATACAAACATCGTGTTTCAAAATATTGCATCCTCTTATCGTATTTCAACACACACTTATATGTTGGCCAGGTACTATACTCCACACCGATTCATCTTTTCGAGTTTTAAAGCAAAGTTCACCCTTGAAAATGATGGTCCATTCGGAATTACAAGACTCCTCTGCTTTATTTTCTACGAGTGTCGATGTTCTTGCTTCTATTTGAATTTCTTGCGAATCTAGATTAACTCTTAAATCCTTTGCTGTCTTTATACAGCTAGGTAATTTAACCAATACGTCTAAATCGCCTATGGATTGCGACCATGAATAGTTTTCTCTCTCTGCTCCGTTATAACTGTCAGATGACCGATCTCTTTCAAAAGATTGAACAGGCCCTTCCATAACTTCAGCTTTTTCACATGTTTCAACTTCAATTTCTTGTATACTTTCTGGAACATTTGAACCTTTTGTGATAGTCAAGTTATCAATATCTTCTTCATTCTTTGGTAAACTTCTTTCGCTAGGACATTTAGAAACATTTTTCCATTTTTGCAAGGTGGTCGAAACCAATTTCTCTGCTATACCAGGTCTGAATCCCAACTTCTGATCCGGGGTTGATTCAATGTAAAAATCTGTACTACAATTAAATTTTAAATTACTCGCAATAATAGTATATATATCGTAAGCTTGTATAGCATGATAATAATAATAACTCACCATCTATACAAAAATCCAAAAAATGCATCTAAGAAGTTAGTAACATTTTTCTCTTCTCGTAAAATTTGCAAAAATGCCTGATCGTGATTAGAATTCATTCTAATCTTCGTTTCACCTGTAATTCGATCGAGTTTGACGAAAATCTTAATAATCTTTTAATTTGACAACTGAACAAATTTATCTGTTCCAGATTGAAGGTTATGTTACGATCTGTAAACAAATTTGATTTTTACGTACACATTCGTTGTACGTAAGTATAATTGCGCTGTAGTTTTGTTTTTTATTCAACCCTACTAGAGTTTCCAAATTTTTTTTAGCAACATTTCATTAAACCCACTGACAAGTACATACAACTTTGTTTACGAAAAGCGCCCTCTTCGCTTGACGTAAACATTGTTTACAAGCGTAATGTTTTGACAAGTTCTGAGAATAGTGACAGAAAAAAGTAAATTAAATAAATGTTTTAAGACTAAAAATGGTTACGGTTACGAAGAAGCTTCGCGTGTGCTCATTTACAATAAATGAAATGGTTTTAAGGTTATAAAGATTTTCGTAGAATTAAACTTTGATACCTTTTAACCTATCCGTTTCATTGAATCATTTATTAATACATCGTAAATTTTTCTTTTTCGTATATTTTAATCGTATAAGTTTGTTCGTGTGATGACTACAATGCCCAATTTTACTCCAGAAATTGCGAAAGGTATTTAAAATGTTTGGCAAAGTATTTATAACTATTTGTATGGGTACTTCGTTGATATAAAAAAATTCATGTAACAATATTTTTCAGCTATTTTGACCGATGTTCTGACAGCATTAAATACTCCAGAAAATGTTCAGAAACTCACAGAGGCAAAGGAGAATTCTGGTAACGAAATGCTCAAAATGATGCAGTTTGTTTTTCCAATTGTAGTGCAGATCCAAATGGATGTTATTAAAAATTATGGATTTCCAGAGGGACGAGAAGGTGTAATATTTTCTTTTCGATAATTGAATTTACGTACAATAGGGTTTTCTTCATGGATATTTTATTCTTTATTTTTCTTAAATATAGGTACAGTTCAATTTGCCCAATTACTCAGAACTTTAGAAAGAGAAGACCCTGAAATAGCACAATTACATAGTCAAGTTCACTCATATTTTCTCCCACCAGTTACTATAAGTTCCTCGACTGAAGCATCGCTTTAAAATAAAATGATTTACATGTAATGGCAATTTGCTTTTTCCTTAACTTTTTCCTCCATTTAATATAGTAAGAGACATACTAATTTTCACACTCGATTTAAAATAATCTTCAATTATTTTTCTCAAAAATTTCTTGAATCTCAGAAACATTAATTTTAATCGAAAAATATTAATTATCAATTGTAATATATTCTAGAAGAAAGATATACAAGGGACTTCAAATTAAATATTTAATCAGAAAAATTAAAAATTTTTACATTTATTTGTATAATAATAATAATAATAATAATAATAATATAATAATAATAATATAATCTACTAAAATATATAATATTCATTCATAAATGTCCTTTGAATTTTTTCTGCACTTACACCAACTCTAAAAACTAAACAGTGTTCCATTGTTCGCGTAAAAATGAAGCGTGTGCATCACACCGTTAACATGCAGAAGAGTAACAATTATTCGTTTTCGTATGTTAAAAATACATATTTGCAAGATACAAATAACAAGTGTAAACGACTAACAAATCGAAGAAAAAGATCGTAGACGTTAAATTGCACATTTAGCAGATACGATGACTAAGTATCGTGGCTTCCCTATAAAAAGCAGTGAATGCAGATCATTGTACGTCGGTGTACATCATTTTGCGTGTATCAAAGTGACTTCCCACCCTTACTGCTTAACTTCATATTTTCGCGAACATCTGGATAAATACATATTAAATATACAATTTCAATCATATAAGCAAGTATGTTGAAAATGCATAAAGAAACAAATTAATTTAATGAAGAATAATACAATGGAATTATTTAAGCGATATTTACTTATAACAGAAATTTAAATCGCGTACAATTCATGTATGATTCACTTAGGACAAGCAGGCAAATACAGTTCCCCTTTGCCAATCGTTGAATCCACGAAACTGTTTTCTCGTATAAAAATTGTAAAATGCGTTAATAGTTTTAAAAACGAAATGCTGAGTTGGTATCGACACTACCTTGGAAAGTAGTTCATTAAAAACGTTACTAATAAATACATATTTTGATTATCGACTACCATCGTTAAGAAAGACGAACATCATACCGGTGTTCATGGAGTGGTCATTGATAGTCTCACTCGCTCGAATGTGAAAAGTATGGATGTAAAATAACGAACTCAGCAATGTCCCCCCCCCCCCATACTCCCTCCCCCCCAAAAAAACCGGGGAAACAACGCGTAAGATGTTAGAAAACACTTTCAGGCTTCGTTAGAATATTCTACTATATCGACTATAGATGGACAAAAGAGACTTGACAATTGGGGAACGATATGCTGTAACATATTTACAATTTTTTTTTTGTTTTGTTTTGTTTGTTTCTTTATATAAATCAAGGTACAATTGTAAATTGTTTCGCGTACAACGAAAGCTAATGCTCTTCACATAATCCTCCTAAGATCATGTTGGTTCGTTAAATCTTACAGTCGGATACCCCGGTTTGCCTGGAAAAGTGTTCACCGAAAATTCATAGAATTCTCAATTTCTCGCGTAAACCAACACAACCTATAGCATCGATAACGACCTTCCGTAAAATCATAAGAACGCTCCGAGTTAATTCAACAGCGACTTTTCACCGATAGGAAAATGCATATCAGCTACGTCTATGTTTCATTCTCTGCAGTGCATGAAGCCTATGCGAGTAACATTGAACAGTCGCCCGAAACCAAATACGTAAAATTTCATAACTAAATTCGGCTCGTACGTATTGCGTGTGTACTTAAACGGTATCCAAAGATGACGATATTACTTCTGGCAACTGCGATACTGCCTTTAACTGTTTCGTCCGCAAGTACTCCGAGGTGTTACTAAACCCAGTAAATCATTAGCAAACGACAGATCGTATTACTAACACACGCATCTCTTTCAACAAGATGAGTATTAGCCACATCGTTACCGATCGTTTCGATTAAAAGGCATGCCATGTCGCGAATATTTATACGAACCGCGATCGATACGCGTCACATAAAGCGTATAACTTAAACCGACGAACCCTGTTCGATATAATATACTTTTGCAAATCACGATTACAGTCTCACGATCTCGTTAGCCGTAGAAAAACACGTATATAAATAGATGGACAAAGAAACTGATTCTGACGCCAACCGTTACTTCGCTTCACGTTATTCCTGTATAGCCCACGGAAAATATCGTTCAATGACCTATTCTATTACCAAATCGAGTCGCACTTAAAAAATATACTATATATGAAAAAGGTGCTTATAAAATCTAGTTATACCTTGGGAGCGCGTAAGCGATTTACATCCTTTTATGTCACTTCATTTCGCATCTTGTGTATAACCTTTTCTCGAGTTAGTTCCCTTATTCATTCATCGTTACGCGATAAAAATACAAGCGATTCAATCATAACGGACACAAACACTTTTGCCCAATAAACAGCAAAAGAAATGAATATTTAGTGGATTTTAAAGGAATATTACTACGTAGAAATAAATGTCGATGTTAGCGGTATCCTTTGGAAACTTCAATTATCAGTTCAGGCGAATTAAATGAAACAAATCGGTGTATTTCATTCCTCCACGCTTCTGTTTTTCATTAATTAAGACCAGAGAGATCGGTTATCGCTCTAATTAATCGTAAAAGAGGACAACTGTTACTTTCAAATGTTAAAACGGATGTTTTCCGAATACTTTATTTTTGTAGGACGTTTCGTCTGTCATTTGTATGTGTCATTTATATCTCGAAATAAAGGTAGTTCGTAGCGAGCAAGAAACTTATACCGTACAGGGTTACCGCTAAAAAACCTCGAATACTTTTTAGACGACAGTGCTCCGGATATTTTAACCGACGCCTTCGACAATTATATCATCAAGCTACGAGAGGAACGGATTCGCTGTAGTAGTTGTATTCGCTGCCCAAGGATCCTGTCGAATCTGATTGATCGTAGGACGAGGTGGTGCTGTTGCCGTCGCAAATGGATTTGCTGAATATGACACGGGTGCTGTAAATTTTTATGAGTATCAATTTATATGTTCAAGACCTATTCCTATACCGAACGTTATGCTGCAATTGGAAATGTAGCAACAGAAATTGTGAAAAGTAAACAACCAATTTCACTGCAAATAAAATAACAAATAAGAAAATTAACAAATTATACGTGTATGTAGGTTAGTGTTGTTCTTAGCTGTACATGATTGAAATTCCCATCCCTTGGAATGATTCCAACGTATAAGAATTATTACCTGTATAATACGAGAATCGTATTTGTGATTGTCAAGTCAAACAAAAAATTTCAATCATTTATAACTGGGGAATAACCTGATACGCATGGCCAGGCTTCGTCAGGCAGATTCGGGAAAAGATTTACGGAAAAAAAAAATATATAATTTCGATACTTTCATCGAATATAATAGTTGAACCATGCATTCATGCAGTATGGCTAATCACTCTGTAGATACTCACGAATTTATTTCCAATGAAATGCTATTTTTCAGACAGAATGCGTTACAAAAGGAAACATCGTATTAACCGTTTACACGCGACAAATTTCGTAGACTTAATCTTTGGGAATTATTTAGGATATATCTAAGTTTGAGCTTCAAATGATACGTTACCTGTAGGCGTAGGTGACGCAGGCTTGGTTGTAGAAGTACTGACAAGATTATCAAGATTGACCAGGGCGGAGTTCTCTCCGAGAAACGACTGCGGCGTTTTCTTAATAGCTCCTGTACTAATAGGAAGATTTTCGGCCATACCTCCCAGATCAAACGGGTCCGGTGACAGTGCACTTCCTGCAACCCCGCAAACAATGATACATCGATACGTTTTAGCGTTACAACGAATAGCAACGACAAAGTCGCTAATATATACCGTTATTTGCTGGCTGTGGACTAGATCCGAGCTTATTTCTGTTAGTAATTACGTCAAATTCGTCTAGGTCGCTCAATGGACTGGTCGCAGAATTGTTGTTCGGATTTCCTGCTGAGAAGTTGTTAAAACTAGGCCCAGTCCCATTGAAACCATTGCTAGTAGGGTTGAAAGTAGCGCTCGAAGTTGTAGGCAAATTGAAGCCTATGTTCTGCGGAGACTGCGCAGCGAAACCGATATTCTGCGTTAAGGTAGGATTGCTGAAAGACGGAGATCCGGATGTTAAACCTTCTCGTCCAGTCTGGAAAATGTTGGAATAATTAAATTAATTTAATATAAATGTAAAAATGTACAAGTGTTCTTCCGAATCGATAAATAAACCTCACCTGCTTTTTGCATGGATCGGTTTCAGCGTTAGGCGCTACCAGTGCCCAAGGATCTGCCGAAGGTGGAGATGTAACTGGCACAGGCGACGGTGCAGGTGCTCGCCATGGATCGATCGCAGCAGCTGAAATTAAATTACGCGATTAACCAGGATAACACCGAAGATAATATTTCATACGAAGTATTATTTAACAAGGTTTATTACTTGGTCTTTGCGGTGGAGCAGGAGTCCATGGATCTACTACGGGCGACGTACTGCTGGTTGTGGGAACACTCCATGGATCATTCTGTTGCTGCAAAATAAGAGTCAGTGGGTGAGTTTCTACTATATCCTTCATAAATTTTTTAAGTACAATCGCGCAGTGCTTTATCATTTTTTTTTTCTTGTATTAATCAAACATACCTGGTACACATAAAACTGAGATAAGTCCAAAGACTGTTGAGCAATATGCAAAGGGTACGCAATATCGTATTATCATGCAATTAACAAATGTGCAATTAACACATCACGCCTAATTTATGATTACATACCTGTGGTCTGGGGGAAGGTGCCGTAATCGGTACACCCCAAGGATCAGTTTGTACAGTAGATCCACTTGCTTCTCCTCCCAAGTTTACATCCAACAAATCTAGTACATGACTTTGTTTCTCAGATTGCGGGGCTCTGTAATTCGTATGCATTTTTAGCTGAGATTCGGAACATGATACAACTTAGGTATCGTTTGTTAATAATTGTAAAATATGAAACTTATAGTGAGCACTAACTTAAAATCCTGCTGACTTTGACTGAGGGCTAACTGCAATCTAACGTCGTCGCTGCGTCTTCTTTGTTCTTCTTGCTCTGCCTCCTCCCTAGACATTGCCAGAGCTAACTGTAGCTGCAATTCCTCTTCCCCCACTGTTTGTGGCCTCGCAGCTTCCAATTCAGCTAATCCAAACGAACAAATCGTAATTAATCATATTTAATATAATACGTGAAATTATAATAGATAGACATTTAATGAACGTTTACTTGCACGTCTAGCTGTAGATTCAGACCCTAGGCGGCATGGTTCCCAATCCTGGAACTATATAATTTGTTAAGGACAGAAGTATGAGACGCATTTGTTATTAATTCTAATAGCACTTACATCACTGCTCACAGGTGACATAGTATCTAACCCATCACTCCCGAATCCGCTAACGGATTGTGCGAATCGTTCCTTTGCTTTTAGTGCTCTAGCTCTTTCGTTCCTTAATCTTTCATCGTCTTTTAATAAGGCCACTAGTTGCTTTGCTTTCTCTCGTACTTTCACTCCCTGATCCTTAGATCCCTCCATATATTGGAAATCTAACGTAATTAAAAATAAATATCATTTATAGACTGCAGAAATTTTATAATAAACTTTATACGACGATAATGTAAAGCTACGTACCTTTTAGAGTTTGGATGGCAAAAATATTCTCTTTACATTGCTGTGCAACTTTTTCCGATCCAGTTTTAATGAGATATTCTAGGAGAACTAAAGCTTTGTACACGTGCCGCCAATTTTTACCGTGATCGTTCAATCTCTTCCACAACATTTGCATAATTTCGGTAAAAGCCACGACATTGTATGTCAAATCAGCAATTTCTGCCATAAGTGTGGTGCTTGGGCCCCAAGAATCATTGCTAGTGGCTTTCCGTACAGCTTTCTGTTTATATAAGAAAATTTTATTTTAGATCTACAGAATAAATATAAAAAGTAAACATTAAACGCTAAAATCAATTACCTGTGCATTGCTGTAGTTGTGGGCAAGATTAACGATGTCTCGCCTAATACCTGCCAAATTCACCTGCATCACGTCTTGACCTTGTCTTCTCATCTAAAAGATTACCACTGTATATTACAAGCAGGTAGTAACATTCCTATTCCTTTTAGAAGCCCATACTTATCATCGCACACGTTCGAGTTTATGTTAATTAAATTTGATGCACACTATCACTTTGCAATGCAATTCAAATACAAGTCCAATTATATATTTACTCAGAGAAAAAAAATCAATCAAAATAAAGAGTAGTAATAAATATGGGCAACCATTTCATACCAAAGCCATGCACCTAAATATACATTAGTAAGTAAGCAGGAAACTCATAAATATTTTATAATAGTCTACTTTTACTAAATCAATGCATTACTTCTATATCTCATTTGGTTAGTGTAAGAAGTAAGATGAATGAAAGTAGCTAAAGTAAAAGTGCAATTGGTTGAAAGTAAAGAAATCCCACTTATAATAATATTCTTTTATCATACAATGGTATTATTGCATTATTTGGAAATTAAAATTTTGTATGCCAAAATAAAATGTAATTACTTCTGCTATGGAATACACAATGTTTCAAAGTGGAATAATTTCTTTTGAGATGTGCCTATGTATAAGCTCCAGGTAACAAGTATCAGTGCATTTAACATCACATAGAATTTAAATTCATTTGAAAGTTGTAAATTATATTATGACAACAATATTTTCTTAGGAGAAAATTCTTTTTTCAATAACCTGCCAAGGTTCTTAATAATAAATATTTCTAATTTCTCTAGAAATAACTTAACGTTAAATATTTGAAAATAACATTTGTTGCAATACTGACTTGCATAATGTGCACAACTTATTGTTATTTTATAATTTTGCAAAAATAAAATACGAATGAATCGAGGTATGTGCAAAAATTTTATTACTAAAAACTATAATTCATGTATCTTTTTATATATACAGGATGCTATATCATTACAATTAAATTTAAATTGTAAAAACATATTTAAAGGTTTTTCAAATGACAAAATTATATATTTTAAAAACTTTTACTATTTGAAAATGTAACTGCTAGCAACACCCTGTATACTATTTAACGTGTCTTGCAAAACATTTATCTACATCATTTATTTTTCAAACATTTTCTAACAATGTCATTGATTAGTAAAGTAATAACATTTGTTATTTTGTTGACCATGGCCAGTTATAAAATTTACCTTCTGCATTGCCATTGTTGGCATATGAAATACCGCTGGCGTCGTCGATGAAGCTACTTCTTGTCCACAAATATAGAAAATTCCCAAACACTCTTCGAATCAGAATAAAATCCTAAACTATTAGACGGTACAGTGAATAAGTAAGAAACATTTGTTACATTTACCTGTCAACGATGAATGAATTTTTATTTAATGTACAAATGATGATATAATTAACTGAGAATATCTTACATATAACTTTGATAATCTTGGTAATTATTATGCAAATAAATATTGCACAGAATACTGCATAATTGTTCTTTCATTGGCCCGATGCAATCAACAATGTTACAAATTATATGGTGTATATCAAAGATATGTAACATTTAAAATATACTTAAAAAATAAATAGGCACAACTCATGTTTCATTAATATATAAAGTACACTATTAGTTTAGCTGTGAGTACCTGTTTTAAATTACTATGTACAGGGCATTCGACTGATGTCTTACAAAATATTGGCTTAAAAATGATAATAACATTTTCCTCTATAAGTTAATGGAAGTACAATCATTTATTACTACTAATTGTATAGAAGATATATAAACAATATATCAGGTACACAATGCATTTAAAATACATATTCGCACACATAGAGGAAAATGTTACCATCCACAAAAGTCTATAATGTGTAGTTATAAATTTTATTTTGTGAAAAGCAACTTTGTAAAAAGGAAACACAACAAGATTAAGATGCTACAAATTTATTGAATTCTTGTTTATGTAAATGTATTGAGAAATCAAAGTTGCAGTTTTTGTGCAATATTATGCTTATATTCGCCTATACAGTAACTATAAAAATTATTTAAATTTAAATTATTCGAAGGACAAAAAGTACTGGATTAATTATTGAAACTACTTTTATTCATGATAGAACCTATTGCAAGCATTTTAACAAAGGAAACTTAAACACAAAACAAAGAAGAAGACCAAGAACTTTTATCATCAAAGAAAAAGAGTTTGAACCAAACTACTATCTCAAAAATCAATAGGCAGCATGCGATAATAAGAAAAAAACGCAATTACTTACATTGATAAAAATGGAGGAGTCAAATTTGTCTTGAAGAAAGCCTTGTTATTAAACTGGAAAGTCAAAAGGAGACCTTTGTTATCTATCAGTTAATACTACTATGTATGTATCTTATCTTATCGTGATAAACATGCGATGTAGATTTATATTTAAAAAATATGAATGATCTATACAAGATGTGCTGAAATTAACTGATATAGATGATTTGTATTTTGCACTATATGCACACAAAGTTTAGCTTATCAATTTTAGTATATCCTGTGTATAATTATGTAATTTAATTTGAGCAGTTTACTCCATAACAACAACAACATTATATTTAAGTGTATTGCAATTATTAGTTCACTTATTACAATTTGCAATATCTACTTATGTTAGATTAATTTAGATTGCTAGATTTCAATGGAATAGGTTCTGCATACTTAACAACTTTGTCCTTGACATTGCTGAACAACTGTGAGAGATAATATACCCACACATACGATAATCATTCTGTTTCATGTTTTAGAGTAAATATATTATATATATAAATGATTTTATTATCGCGCATCACGTTTTTTTGTTTAAAATAAATTAACATTACTTCTAGACCATCAATTTATTTTAGTTTACGTTTTTAATAAACGGTACAACAAAACAGTTGTTTATACATTAAAGCTGCTCAGAGTTACTATTGTATGGTTTCTTCAAGGTAGTTAAATGGCATTATACCGATAAATGACCGTGAAACTATCGATCACTGTTTTGTATTTTCATTAATTTTCTATTCGATAAATTAAGAACGAACGACCACGAGAACCAAAAATTTCATTAGAAACAAGATTACACGTACGCGATATATCATCGAATTAAAAAGATTCCAAGCGTCGCAACGATGTTATTTTCACCCCGACGTTATTATTAACCTTAAATGATCAACGTGACAGCTCAGCACATTTTTTCTGAAAATCACGCGGATCATTTCCTCGCCACACGTGAAAACAACTTCTCGCTACGTTACTTCCTGGTATCGTTCGAAAGTTTGAACCGAGTAGAGCGTCAACATACTTGTACGCTTCAATGACACTCGTACGCCATATAAATACAAAACGGTGATTTCTTTTAAGGGATTCGAAGGAACAAAGAGTTTTGATATCTACACGTTCCATATATCGTACACCCTTTTAGATATTAACCAACACAATGGGTGGGCACACACTGCTTAGCTACTCGGCTAGCCCATGAAAATACGTGATATGTCAATTTCGAAACTCTCTACCTATGCTTTCTCATGCTCGGGCGTGACTTCCGCGAACCTGCACTTTTTTTCGAGTCTGTCTCGAGGCACAATCAATCGTGTAGATTACGAAAGAAGCCGAGTTAACGAAGGAAAAACGTGTCACGAACGGAATATGTACGTGGGATATCGTTCTCTCAAAACGGAATCGAGCTTGCACTTTTATCTTACGGACTGTACCACTCGTAGTTTGCGTACCAACTAAACGTTACTCGTTCCCGTTAATTTATTCCACACGATTTAACGGGAAACGTTCTACTCACCGTGGCGTGTACTAGAAATTTAATGCACTAATTTTCCAACCGAAACAAGGAACAAAATAACATAAAACACCTATGACAAGTCCATTCACAGGCACTGACGAATTAGGAGCTACGAGGCAAGATGGCGCTGAAAAATATTTCCTTCTCCTTCGTTTCGCCGTCTGCGGTGTAGCCGTCGAATATTTAACATTCGGCTTTGTTTCGTGGGATCGGGGGATGAATTCGAGGCCGTTCGTTCACTATCGTACGTTCCCCTATTCCACGGATAGGTTCAGCTACTAACGTACTACGTGATTTTTTTTCTTTTTTTTTTTTTTATCGAAACAAGGAATTTGTCAATGAAGGGTTGTCTCTCTTTATGTAATCTTCGGGCGCGTTCACAAGCGCGTAAGATTCTACACGCAGTTGTCATTCCTGAGGATAAAGGGTGTCCTGAAAGCTGGGTGTACTTTGTAGAATTTTATTTATCGTTCGAAGTCGAGGGGATTTTGAGCGTCGTTCGTGTTTCTGTTCGAACAAGGTCTAAACGTCCGAGATTCTAAACTTTAAAGTATGAAACAATATAAAGTATATGATTTTACGAAAATAAATAGAGATCTGTGAGACACCCTATGAACTGGGAATAGAAGGTTCGTTGAAAACGCAGAGTAGGTTTGATGTTTTTCGGCAGGTATGAAAATAGAACGCACTTGTTGGAGGTAAATTTCATACGCACACGCCATCATAAGAGTTTTCAGCTTTCAATTGTTGACTGACGGTTCTGTTTTCAAGCCAAGATCGTTGGTCTCGTCGATGTTGTCGTTTTAATAAATGAAACGAAATTGGAGAAGATCCGAAAACGTTTAATCGTTTTATACGATTTTCGTCTACATGTTTGTCGAAATATACGTGAAAACGAAGTAGGTTAGGATAAGCGAACGTCAGCGTTACAATATAACCTCTATTGTTTTCATTCGAATGAAAATTAGCGTTACCGCACCATAAATATTTTCCTGCGAAGAGGATCGTTCTTTGAAGACAAGATGAATGTGAGACTTTTAAAAGATCCTGCTACTGTGAGTAGCCGAATATTTGTGGGTCATTTGCAAACCGATGATATGACCAAACACGAATTGGAGGAACATTTTGCAAAATATGGAACTGTTGTCGGTTCTGCGATAAACCGAGGTTTCGGTTTTGTCCAATTCGAGGAAGAACAGTCTGCACAGAAAGCTATTCAAAATGAGAACGGTGCGATGTTCAAAGGCAGAAGAATGGGTATTTTCATTTATTTTTCATATATAATTTCATGCACTCTCCGATTCTCAATTATTAATTTAAATGTGTCGATTAATCATAAATATTATATAAGTACGCATTAGGATCCTATCTTACTTATTTTTTTTAATTAGATGTTAGACCAGCAAAAAAGGATAATCAGTCTGGTGGAGGAGGAGGGGGGAAGCTGCAAGCAGGACTTAACAATCAATTTAATTCCAATGCTAATCATTTTAATACTGGAAATGATTCTTTCAATACCGGGAATCAAAGCTTTGGAGGAAATTCAAGTTTCGCTCCGAATCAAAGTTTTGGTTGTGATTTACAGTTAAACGATAGCCAGAAAGGAAATAATATGCAGAATAGAGGTGGTGTAAACGATCAGTTTGGTGATGGAAATCAGAACAGAGATAATAATCAAGTCGGAAATCAAAATCGAAACAATGGAAACGATCAATTTAATAACATGATGCAAAATAAAGGGAACAATCAGTTTACTCCAGGTAATCAGAATAGAGGCGGTAATCAATTTGGATTGGGTGGAAATCAAAACAGGCCTGGTGGAAATCAGAATCGCAACACAAATAATCAGAACACTCACAATCAAAGTGGTATTGGGGGAGGGGGAGCGAACAGTGGCGGGGTTGGTCGACCAAGAGGCGTTAGGGGTGGAAAAAATCGTAATAAAAATAGAGACGGTTCGGCTGGGAACAACTTCAGAGATCGTAGTCCTATTAACAGAGGTGGTCGTTTGGACGATAAAGGTGGACGGGATTGGGATCACAAGCAAGGCGATAGATTAAGAAACGATAACTTTGTCAGAGATACATTTAGCGACAATAGCAACCGTTTTGATAGTTTCAAGCCTACCGCTGCACCTAGAGATATGAACATGAGTTTTAAGTAAGCGGAACTATTAATATTTTGCGATCACTCGTATTATTTGAATCTAGCGTTACGTACTTATTTGTTTTTCAGCAACACAAGCACATCGAACGAGTATTCGAATGCAGCAACCGAAAAGAATGATTGTGAAATCATTGTTGTTAATAAAGCATTAACGTACGTATGACAGTAATAAATTTCCTGACGATCGACGAATATTTTTGTAACTTATGTTTGTCAAATTAGGGAGTATGCGGAAAGTATTGAGGCGCGATTAAAAAAAATTGGATTAACGGTAGATTTGCTATTTCCAAACGAAGATGTACTTCTAAGTAGAGTTCTAGGGAACATAGCAAGTCGTGGATGTTTGTATGCAGTAGTAGTAACGCCTATCAATCAAGAGCATCATTCCCTAACGCTAAATATCCTTCACGGTTTACCGCAAGGTACGTGGCTTAACGATGTTACAAAGACTTAGCAATTTTTGACGTTAATGGAATTTTATCTTTTTGGACAGAACACAGAAATATGCTCGTTGACGACGCTATTAATTTAATATCACGCGATTTCTCTAATTACAAAGCTGGCGGACGATCGGTCCCAGTGAACACACCGTTCGCGAACGAACGGCATCCCGATGCCATTCAAGTTCTTTTAAATATGTTGGCCGATAACCATCAATTAACAGTACTGCAGTACGAGCGTATCATAAAGTATCTTGAAATGAAACGCGAAGAACAAGTGCAAGTGGAATTGGGAGACGTAAAAGATTTACCAACGACGACTACGACGATAGCGGTTAGCGATCCGAAACAAGCTGAATTACAGTCCAGGATACTTAATATTCTGAACAGTAATAAAACAAGTTCGTCCGCGCCAGCACCTAGTCCAGTGCCAGCACCAACTGCAGCACCAGTTCCGGTCCCACCAGCTACTTGGGGATCAGGTAAAAACTATAAAGCTTCACTACTCATGTTTGATCCGAATGCGTATGACATGAAATGTTCAAAAAATTTATATGAAATATCTATTCTTGTAACATGGTTAATAAATCAGGAGAGCATAAATATCGTAGCAACATGTCTACAGTGGATTTTGCTTTTACAAATATCGAGATCATGATAAATTGCATTAATAGGGGAAGGAAAAAATATGCGCACTGTAAGTGTAGCATTTTTATTTTTTTCTTGACGTTCCGTGTAACATTTGTGTATTGTAATTGTGACGATTACATCCATTTATTGTAGAAATACCACTATTGGTTTATTCGTTGCGCGGAAAGAGCCGAGTCGAAGATGTAGAACTTCTCTAACGCGAACAAAATTCGAGACCTGTTGCACTGTTTTGCATTTTTAGAAAGGTCGTCGCAGGTGTATCTTACGGATATTGGATCACTTGTTTGTTACGTTTCATATCGGATTTGTTTGTGTTCCTCGCGAACACTTCCGGCGAAGACGAAATTTCTTTTAAGTCGTGTATCGAAATTTCTAACGAAGTTTCCAAATAATTTGACGGTTAAAAAAGATAACGCGGGTTCCGCGTAAAATTTTTTAATAGATTCAGGTAAAATTAGAACGTAATATTGATCAAAAATATCGATCGTAAACGAACTTCGTACGCTTTGGGTTCCTTTTTTTTTTCTTTTTTTTTTTTTAATAAAGTTCGCCGCGCGTGTAGTGCTACTGTGCCTGTTTCCTCATGATGCTGCGATCAAAGCGAACGAACTTCGAATATATTTATTGCTGGTGTTACAACCGCTAACTACATGAGACATCATGTTATGCCAGCAGCATCAACTGCCGCATCAGCGCCCACGACTACTACTACTACCGGAGTTTCACCGTCACCTCTACTAAACGATCCAACAGTTCAAAAGGCACTTGACAGTCTATTGCAAGGCAATTTGCTCAAAAGCATCGGCGATCAACAACCGGCCACGACTACGACACCTCTGTTTGCCGCTTTTTCGAATATCGGCCGATTTTAATTAATCTCATTGTTTTTATCATGTTCGTTTCATCTGGCAAGAAATTCCATTTCATTTCACTTCATTCGATGAAGTGAAAATTCGATGACGATGTTCGGTAGAAAATCAGAATGTTAGCAAACTCCGAGTTGACGGCAAGTGATTTTGATATTTGTCTCTGGTGAAGTGTTAGCATACTTTCGCGTGCATAAAGTAACACTTTTGAACACAGGATTCAACGGTTTGTAAGATGTTCTATAGATATTATTTGTATGATTCACAATGATAGGTATACATTGATATTTGTCTATACGTTTGTTCGATCCTTTCATTCCTAGGATAGAAATATTTTAGCATACTATATACAGTATAGTAATTTAAAGAGGAGAAACGAAATGTTGGATGCATATCCAATACTTTTCGAGTGTGAGCTTTATGCTTCTTTTATCCCTTTGCTACCAATTATGATAAAGTTAATCAAGCTTTGGATGCACCTTGGATATTAAGAACCAAGTTTAAAGTATAGTTACATACTGTATTTTATTAGAGCCTGAATAGTTTGTTGCAATGACAAGTATTTCAATATGTAATATATTTACTTAGTAATCGACAATTTAGTTAAATATTTCCATCATTTACTGGAATTGTACGTTATTCTTATCTTAGTATGTAGAATTTATTACATTATTGTTTCAATGAATTGCAACAGTTGTTTCTATCACTTTTATAGTCTTTATTAATCTCATAAAGTTATACCACTCATGATTACAATGTCTGACTTCAACAGAGATTAGGGAAAAACAATTTGGGTAATTTATAAGCTCTGTAAACTTTGTCTGATGTAAAAATATAATATATATATTATATATATATGCAAAACATTTTATGTTTGTAATAAATTATATAATACGTATATAATATTAAGTTCTCTTTTGCATTATTGAAAATGCACATATATGGGTACAGATTGTCTTTTATTTTTTTTTTTTTTAAAGTAGAGGGAGTAAATGAATTTATTACACGTGTTACATATTTTTCAAATCTTGTATTACCGCATAAAGTTTAATTAATTTTAATACCTATACAAGTATGTTACATGAGAGAAGGATTTAGATGAATATCATGTATAACTTCAATAAAATGTTTTAGGAATACCTTATGTCTTTTATTTACGTGGCGCCAACGTTGATGCCTCTTTCTCATGGATCTAGAAGGAAGAAAATATACATCTATAGAATGGAACTTGTACTTCGAATTCCTAATGCATTAATTTTTTTACATACCTTTTCAGCGCAGTGATTAATACATGTTTATTTTCATGAAGCAATGTAAGCTATGGATTTTGGAAGCAGTTTTATTACGTTAATAAGCAACAAATAAATCAGTGCACAAAGTGGTAGCATTTAAATAAAAGTGTTTCGCGGGATGTAATTAAGCATATCGTTAGGCATTGGCAGGTAAGCAAAGCTACATAAGTATAAATAAGCGTAAATATTTGTTAAGTTCACATCAAATTGAATTTACCTAAATAATAACTCTTCAGGTATTGTTCCGCGTGTACGATTTCTTCGCACGGCTGGGACACTTCTTTGTACAGTATACCAAGGACAGATTTTACAGCGTCTATGTCGTACATATTTTTTACCAATCTTTGTTTATAAGGTTTAAGTTTCTCTACGAGCTCCTTATTCTTGCAAATAGAACCAACGTGGTGTTGAAGAATCTCGTTGTACATCGGCCAGTCGGAGTCGCAAGCGGGACAATTGCATTCAAAGAAGTAGTCCTGCATTATTTTTTCTCTTCTTTCAGATCGTGGCATATGTGCATACGCCGCGCCGTAACCTGTGAATATTTGATCCCCAGGATTTATTGGTTCCAGAGCGCGGGTGATCATTGTCAATCCTTCGAAGTGACGGAACGTGTTTGGTGCACAAGAATGATTATACAAACTGTGCAGTATGTACAGACCCGAGCCTGTTTTTACTCCTGGTTCTTGTTGTACCTAGAAAATAAATTTAATTCAATGTAAAATCATTTTATTTGATTAAATCTTGTATAATCATCGTACATTTTATTCCGTGTTTCTTTAATAATCTATGTTATAGTTTTGTAACACGCACGGCCGTGTGGGGCTAGCCGCTCACCTTGGACAACGTTCATGGATATTTACTATATGCAATTAAAATAAAAAAATCAGAAATAAAACTCATTAGCTTCTAAAAGTAGGCTAAACGCTAGCTCCACAAGGCCATCGGTGTCTCGAACATATTACCGTGAAACAATTGGAAGACATTATAACACAGGCGCGAAACATGAGACTGCCACAGAATTTGAGATCAGAAACATTGCCAATGTCTTTTAATTGGTCCACTTCGTATTTCTTGCAGAAGAAATTAGTCTGCGTTGCTAACAGGATAGCACCAAGAGCTGAGATACACGCGAAAGCACTGAGACCAATGAGCGGTCTTGTTGACATATTTGTGGCGAGACTCAGAGCAGATCGTGCGCTATTACTATCCAATATACCATCGTCTGTAAATCCAGCAGTTCTGTCATCTACAACAAAGAAATCTTTTACAACATCTTTACATGCGTGGTACGTTATAATTCGATATTTCAATAAGTTTTCATATTTTGTAAATGTAAATTATATTATTGTTTCTGATTCTAGTCATAAAATCTGAGAGCTATTCTGTACCTGGATTGATCTCAGCTACTTTCATATCTTCCCGCAATTCTGCGATCTTCTCGCCTTTTGCTGTCACCATGATCAAAAATCTAACAATTTTGGTAAGCATGCGTACCTTGTCTTTGTCAATATTAAATAAATTTCCTAGAACTGCCAAAATCGGGCATTCTATTTGATGAGCCATTTCCCAGGACAATGTTCTGCATTTTTCCGAACAATATTGAGCCATCGGGCAATTCGTGCATGGAATTAAATTGTAACTTCTTGATAAACAATGGTGACAGTGCGTGTAATATCTGCAATTTGCAAAATCGTTATGCAACGATACGTATACCGATTTTGAAGAACATTTTACCTTTGCGTATACATGACATAAGCATACGGATCTTCAAAAGAAACTACATCCCCTGGCTTAAACTCTTTAGTAGCTCTTAAATGACGCCCGTATTTTTCCGAGAAAGAAATACTGACGCCGTCGCTAGCAGCAGGAGATTCTTTACTGGGGCCATAAGCTAACTTTAAAGAACCTTCGTCTGCTAGGTATCTTGGTTCTCTTTCTTTGTTACTCATAGGTGGTTCATCGCAGCCATTAATTGACTCTTGTTTATTTCCGTTAGCATTTACATCTTTGTTTATTTCTTTCTTACTTTCAGCATTTCCGTTTCGGTACCTCACAGTTACAGGCTGATCGGTAATTTTTTCAGATAAACACATACTCATCAACTTTTGCGTATCAATTGGATCGTCCTTTTGAATCTTCAATTTTTTTTTAATTTCTTCAACCGCCTTAGCGCCCCTCTCCTTCAAGTTTTTCCTTTTTTCTTCTGGATATCCAAGATTTAAAGCGGCATCGATATCGATTAAACACTGTTTATACATTTGTTTTCTATACAAAGCCGCTGATCTGTTAGCATGGGCGTAGGACATTAGTTCTTTGTCATTCGCATACGCTAAACTCATTGTGTAACATTTTATAGCTTCGTTATCATCGCCCATTACGAAATGTTGATTTCCTGTAATATTTTAAGCGTAATAATTTAACGAAACCTAGACTGAATTTTAATATCTGATCAATATCGATTACCTTCTTCCCGGAATCTGATAGAATCTTCTTCATTTTTCGTTTCGGGAACTAACGTCGGTAGCGGAGATTTGACCATGTTTTGCAAAATGTGGCCAACAAGTGCTTCGCATTCTTTTTGTAAACCATAACCCGCGTGTGACTTATTACCTTGTTTTAAAGTTAGTACCAATTCCCTTGCTGTGTCCATATCCATGTTAGTTATTCTTTTTGAAAACGATCTTTTGCAAAACAGTATTTTAGTTTATATATTCAATTGAAGATTGCTGATCGATTATTAAATGGATGTATAATAAAAACTAAAGGTACCTTGTTTAATGTTTTAAATGTACTTTTGATGCAGGTATATCGAGTATTTTCACTGACTGAGAACAGTATGATTATCACATACTTCTGGTACACTAGATAAGAAGATGTTGAGTGGACTGTGGTGAACTATGTACTGGCAGAAGCAAAACTGAGAGGTGAAACTAAAATTACCTCAAGTAGGATGATAGAGGGAAGCAGAAACTGTATGCCTGTGAAACCAAGCTTGTAATCATTCATTAACTTGTTAAAATATAAGTTATATAATGGACACAAAAGAGTACCCTAAATTTATTACAATTTCAATAATAAAAATCATTATTTTTATAATTATTAAGTTCTCTAAAAAATTGCAAAATTGCAATCTTTTTAATAAACGGATAGACTGTAATATGTTCTAATGTATTGTTCGAATCTTTTAGGATATCAATTATTTATTAGATATTTCATTTAAATTATCGTTATGTTTATCAAATACTTTTTGTAATATCGATTACGAGTAACATTATAATTAAAAAAATATGACAGGAATGTTTCTAGCAGTGTTAAAATAAACCGTAAATATACGTGTAACTTAAAGGTATTTAATGAATATAGATCTTAGAGGTAGTTTTTTTGAGTCATATTGCATGAGCACATTGTAATGAAAACAATTTGGCAAGGATCCAAATGTAATGGTATGGTTGCTATAGTCTTGAATTCAACCTTTAATCAAGCGAGTATATATATCAAGCAGTTCCTAATACTTGAATACTATTCAAATAAAGCTTAATGTATTAAATAATCATTGATAAATCTATGTTTATATTATTGTATAAATATAGAATTAATATTATAGGATGGTAATATTAAGAAAAATTTGTGGAAAAAGTGTAATAAGTTTATTAAGGGATTATCAAACAGTAACAATTAATTAATATAAACAAATACTAATGATCTCATGTGTGACAAATGATGTTAAATTGTTTATCTGTACATATTGTGAATAAAATCCATGTGTTATGTAAGTTAGGAAAAAATAATTATATAATAAGGTTAATCCAAGTTATATAAAAATAATGCGCGTATTTGATTAATCTTCTTCTGCTTCCAGATTTATGCGGCTACCAAATTTTGCATACAGTTGAGTTTTTAACTCGCTCATAATGTTCTTTAGATCGGCACATCTACTTTCTATATTTGTGATTTCCATTTTCTTTTTCTCTTTGATCTCGTCTAAGTAATTCTATAAATATAAAAGTCTTTACTTTATAAGTAGATAAACAACCAACATAGAATAGATTTAAATCTGCCATGCTAAAATGCAGAACTAAAGTTTCTCAATGTTAACAAGGTTACACAGAAATGATAACAAACCTGTGTTGTCTCCAAGTCTTTGTAAATGAAAACTTCGCCTATGTAATATGGTATTTTCGCGTCGTCGTCTAAAAGGACTATTTCATCACAGGCATCTTCCAAGTTTTTTAATTCATTCTATACAAAGAATAACAATGCACTTGTACGTAAAACTGAGCATGACCAAATAAGGGTAAGAGAAATCGGAATCGTTCATTTATACCTGTTTAACTTTCAACTCTTCTTTCAAATCTTCCATTTTTGCATTCTGTCTCGCAAATTTATTAATCTTCAGTTGATCGTCGTAAGTAATATAAACATCTGAATCCTGCAATGCGGTAGAGGTTAGATATGAATTTTAATACTTATGAACATAAATGAGAAAAGTAATTCGCAGGTCAAACTTGCCGATTGAAAGCCAGCTGGAACATTTTTTCGTGCCGACATGTTTACGTTCTTTTTTTATGTTTATATTCGCTTTATTAACAATTTCCGGAAAGATAGTACATTACGGGGGGGTGTGGGGTGGCAAATGGTAGTATCACCATCTCGCAGTGAAATATCGAACTAATTGCAGAGTTTGGTCAGCGCCTCTATCGAGAAAATGTTCAAGTTTGTTCTCGATTAATTCCTTTTTTTACAGTTAGATAGCGCTATTTTCATGCCGTTTACCGACATGATGGTAATGTACCAATAGGTGTCGGTAAATAACATGGAATTAGCGCCTTCTAGCTGTGACAGCTTCAACTATTCGAGGACAAACTTGAGCGTTTTTCCGATAGAGGCGCTGACCAAACTCCAAAATTAGTTCGGCCTTTTCACCGCGAGATGGCGACACCATTTCCCATAAATGAGTATCGTTTAAATTAATTCAATAAATACGAATAAATACAAACAAATACCATCAAAAATAGTGTTCTCCGTTGGAATAAATCGAATTGAGCGTCATGCGGTTGTTGTTCGCCCTTCCCCTTCTCTACTTCGAGAGGCACAAGCGAGCCGCGACTCTCGAGCGACACAAGTATACAAGGGGTGAGAGCTCATTCGTCGTTGATCCTTCGTTCGATATGGATCTAGCGATCGCGCGACCGAGACTTGGTAATCGGTATTATTCGTGACAAACAATCCTTCGTCACGAAAAATAAGGAGCTAATGGCTGGTAACTTTGTATAAGATCTTTAGATATAAAAAGTGTAAAGTGTAAAGCTACCGCGTCTCCAAATAAATCAAGTCTCACGATGATTATGCATTCCGTAACTCCTCATTTATTTCGTTTTTACATAATATTTATAGCCTTAACGGTCGCCGAAACAAAATCTCTACAAGCACGAACTATTCTACGCTACGCGTATCGCGTAATTAATTAATTAATACACGTATTTGTGCCATAGTCGACCCCATAATTTCCATTAGACTCGATTAAATATATTTTCTCTCCTTTCCAATGGTCACTATACGCGGACAAAACATTTACACACCTAATTACGCGGCTAACAAACAATTTACAACACGCATTACACACTTCGATTGCCTATTTCAACGATACTTTAATCGCGACCGATGGAATCAGCCTCGAGAGGACGTTTCTCTTTATTCTCATCCACGGCCGTCTGTGGCGTCTCGACGTTCGGACTCTTATCGATGTCGCTATCGGAGGACGAGTTGTCTTGGTGCAACTCGAAGCCGTGGGTCAGAAGGTTGGTTATCCTTTCGACGTCCACCGTGTCGTCCTGTTCGTGGATCTTCCTCAGGGCGTTGGAGACGATGCAGAGATCGCCTCTCAGCTCGCTCACCACCGCGGTTATCTTCTGTGCGTCGGTGAGGACCTCCACCGATTGCGTGTAGGGGTTGTAACGCAATCCGAATGGACGCTGTATGCCATTTGCGAACGACCTACAAATATACGATAACAATTGGCCGGTGTACCGCAATAAGGACATAGCTCCATGTTTTTACGGTTTTGAGGTTAGAACGTCACGGATTTGAAACATTCCTTTCTTTTGTGACGCAATAAGGAGGAAAATTTGGAAAAATTGTGCTACCTCCTTATTGCAGCACATCCCTGGATTGATTAACGATTGTTATCAGGAATGAAACTATTCATCTCAAGAATCATAAGACAAACGAAAACACGAATCGTAGACCACCGGGATTGGTCGAGTAGGTAAAGTGACCGACTGTCGATCCGAGGATCGTGGGTTTGAATCTCTCCCCCGTGCCTGATATTATTTGTTTTTTAGATTCCTACGATATGATTATAAGTATCGTAAAGGATTTTAAACGAATTATACCGCATCTTTTCTTTCGCTTCCTCGAAGCTGTCCGTGTAGTAGTAAGCGTTCTGGAACGCGGTGATGATGCACTCCTGTTTGCAAGTAACGTCTGGCTCGAAACGGAACGTCTTTTCGGGCGTGGACACCGCGTGCTTCAGTTCGGCGACGGATGACAACAAACCGGCACCGTAAACCCGAAGCACGCCGTCCTGTTTGCACAGTCCAAATTCCACGGTGAAGAAGTACAGCTAAAATGAAATGAATATAAGTTTCAATTAAATACTATTTACTTATATATATATATATTATTATACTATTATATATATGTATATCACGAAACAAATATTTTCTCTTCAGAACAGAATGGTTGATTATTAATAGCAAACAGTATGGAGGTAAACAAAATTTGTATGTAAGTTCAGTTGGAAGATTGGAGCTCTAACGGTTGAATCTTTTATTAAATTAATCATACTTGCTTGAGCGTGTAAATAATGTTTTTTCGTCTTCATTAGCTGGAGATAAATGTTCTGCGAAGTTTTAACGAGACAAAGGAACAGCCGCGAGCACGATACACTTACCGTTGCCAATTTATCGATGTCCTCCTCGGAGGCTCCAAGAGAAGCGAGTCCAAGTTCCTGAGAGAACTGGGCGAAACTTGGATTAGCCAGGAGGGGCATGTGCCCTAACAGTTCGTGGCAACAGTCTCTGGATGGAATAAAGAATCATTCCAGAATGAAACTATTCTAATTCAATTTTTAATATTTTTTTTCTTAATTGAACATTTTCATTGAATTGATTTTAGTTTTAGGATAATCTTGTACAAGCATTTTTATGACTTTACACGCTTTACGTTTCTCTGGTTAATTTTTATTCACCTAAGAGGAAGGCTGTAGTGTATGTATGAAGCTAGAATGAATTTTAATAATATCTCACAGGCAAGCTAATTATCCTTATGAAGCATAATGTTTGGGTTGTAAAGTACTCACGGCTCGGGGGTGTAAAAGGGGTCCGACGAATGCCGAATGTACTGAGTGCAGTGGAACACTCGAAAAGCAAGCCCAGCTAGAAAGTCTCTCGGGGTGAGGTAACCAGCCACTGGTCGAAGTTGAAACCCAGTTGTTCCTGGCAATGTTACAAAACTCCATTTTTAATCGTTCAATTGCGTTATAATTCTTCACTTACGTTTCAAAAAGGCGTTCACGTCTTGTAGCTGTGGTATATTGTCCTGCCTGTGGACAAAAAAATATTATATATTACAATATTTAAGAATTCCATTTAATTCGACACTTTGAGGAAGCTTTACCTATAACCACAATACTTCACCAGCTTCGGCCAATTCTCCAAATACTCCTTGCAAGCGTGTTTCAAGTAGAGCTGATGCAACTCGCGGAAAACAGTTCCCCTGAAAATTGTTGGTAAATAACAACCAACCACGCAGATTGTTTCAACATTTAGCTGTCCAACTGACACGTGCTCTCTTGTAATGCGTGACTGAGGTAAGATTAAAAGTTGCGTGCTTTTTCTTTATAATTAAATGATACGTTTGCCTCGGAGAGGCACAGAATTCATTTCAACGACTAATAACAAGTCAATATTTTTGTAGAAATTTTCAATTCGATAGAAGCTCGATCCAACAATCAAAGTACTCTTTGTTCGACGATTTTCCAAGAATAGATCGTTTGCTGGCACCAGTACATACCCAACAGGAACTGGATTAGAGAAGTCGCTTCAAGATGGCGAGGTTAAATCGAATCAGGACAATTAAGGGGCGCATTCAACACGGGAGCGAGCTTAGCTTGTTCACGCGTCCCGAAGAACGAAGACGGAGGGTAAACTTATCGTTTTGTATCGCCCGAGAACTCTCGAAGACTGTTACACGATCGTGGCTGAAGCTCGCGGATCTATGGAAAAGGATGATCCTTTCTTCGTCGCGGATTGGCCTCGTACTCGTGGAAACACGTACCAAGAATTCTCGTAACGAGCAAAACTTACGCTAGGAATCTCGCACAATGGCGCCATTTATTTTCATCGATCCCCCAAGTAACGCTTCCAAGGATCTAAATATGGAAGCTTGGGTGGATTTAAAAAAAGGATCAAGGCGCTGTTTGATCATTTGAAGTGCGATAATTTGTTCTCGAGCAACAAGCTTGAGATGATTAAAAAAATTTTTTTGATTTTTTTAAAAAAAAAGTCTTTTTCAGATAGCTATAACTCTGCCAAAAATTGATCAAATTAGAGTTTTGTTTTCGAAATGTGCATTTTTGAATGAGCTTTACGAAAGAGATACAAATCAAAAAATTTGTTTGAGAAAACCTTTGTCAGTAAAATAAATTTACGAACCACGTCCTGATTTCCTCCGGCGTGTACTGTATGCGAGGGATCGGTTGGCCGCTGGAAAGCAATAATCAAATTAAATTTATTCCGACAAATAATCTCGTTCAGTCTCACTCTAGATCATCGATTATCGACGTACTATCTATAGTTGCTCGCGATGTCGGCGAACTGTTCGCGACGCTTGCGGTACACCGGATCCTTGAAGCCCTGCAATCACCAAAGAATAATCACTCCGACAAAATTCCACGCGTTTTAAACTCCTCCCGGCGCGCAAACTATACAAAAAAGAAAAAAAGAAGAAGAAGAAAATAAACATACAGGATGATCCGCGTCCAGTTCAGTACCATACATGAGCACTCTCTGAGATTGATCCAAGTCTGATATTTTTCGTGGGAACCAGGGCATGTCTACCTCGCTGAAATCTACAAAGTAAGATCTTAAATTGGTCGAGTTATTAGCGATTTATACCTCCGATTAAAAAAGGAAAGTTTTCAGGGAAAATTTGTTAAAGAGATTCGTTGAAGGGAAAGGAAATAGAAATATTCAGTAAAGTCTCCTTAAATATATGCAAAGTTGCAAACGTATGCCGACGAGCTTCGAACGCAGAGGACAGCGACTAAGAAGAGGACGAAGTGAAAACACCGGGTTACCTCGGTGAGTTTTATCTAGTTTTACCCGGATCGTGTCACACTATTCGGTGATCCAACTATTGAAACCTCCTCTTTCGTAGTCTGTTAGGAAAAAAGGACTCACCGAAGCTTGGGGCGGCCGAGAGCGAGGGAGCGTGGTGTATGTTCCCCATCTGTTCGTACTGGGCCAAATTAATGGCGGCGACCTCGCGATTCAACATCCTCGTCAACTGTTCCATCCTGCTCGAATCGCACTCGACGTCCACGAGGATTTCGTATTCGGAACCGCGACGCAGGGATTTCCGCGACTCGATGTGCACGACGTTTACACCTAGGTCCTTCGACCGATAGAATTCTATTTCAGCACGGGAGATTCGTTTCGTCAACGTCAAGGAAGGGATTGGCATAAGGTAGGCAATATTTCGTATTTAGGACGAATACGCGCGGTCACTCGACTTTTATCATTCGGCAAATGGCGTACCTGAAAGACCTGCAGCACCCGCGCCAAGCCGCCGACTTGGTTTTTCAACGAAAAGACGACGGAATTTTTGTTGTCGCTGTTCGGCCGACGCTCGACCATGGGGATCTGAACGAACGAAAGAACACGTTCATCCATTACTCCCGTTCATCTTACAGTTGACGTTTACTTTTTTAACTGTTGCTCGAAACAACAGTATGCTATGGTAACAAATTTATTCTACATTTTCGACTCAATTTTTTACATTTTTATACAAATTATATCAATTCTGTCCGATTTTTAGGAACGTTTGCACCGCACACTATGCACTCGCTAGACGAAGAAATTCAGTTAGCGACACCAGCGTGGGACCTTGGACACAGACTCGAGGTAAACCAGCGATTCGAATCAACTATCAAATGATTCAAAATTAACCGAATATTCTACACTCAACATCAATGATGGGAGGAGACGTACTTCGCTCGGCTTGTGTATAGGACTTCCTTCCTTGATGGCCCATTGTTCCCCTCTTCTGTATAGCCACACCCCGAGCAAACCTTTCCCAGATCCACTCATGATGATTTACACCCCCCTAATGAAGCTTCTTCTTCCAATAGCAACTCTTTAAATTTCCTTTCCGAATCTCAAGCTTCTCCGACTGTCGCACGATTTACTCGTTGAGAGTACCGTCAAAAATCGTTAATACTCTGTTTGGTGATTTACGCCCCCCCAAAGGAAGCTTCTTTTTCTAATAGCAACTCTTTAAATTTAAAATTTAAAATCTTTTCAAATTTCAAGATTCCCCGATGTTCCCCGCACGATTTGTAACTCGTTAAAACCATTCGGCTATTCGAGGTCCACGAGCAACAGTGTCCCGCCGCTGGTGTCTTCCGCTCTTCTTAAGCCCTCGGTCCCCTCCGCGTACGCGTCCTTCTCAATGACGATCACTTCGCGATTGGTCGACGCACAGTGGTAGCAAGTTTCCCCATTGGTCGGATAAGACTTCTCATGGGTTTGAAGCAGGAGTGCCGGCTCACCCCATTTAACCGTAACTGTGCCGGTTGCAGAATGTATTCGTTGTGACGTCACTGGAGCCCGCGAAATGTGGGTGGCGCAAGGGCTGGCGCGACGATGAACGAGAGAAGAGATTGCAAGGTCTCCTGGTAACCACCCGCGGAGGGTTATTTTCTTTTATTCCGAGGATCCTCGATCCTCTTCTTACTTTAGTCTCCTTTTTCTCGGTTCGAGCCCACGTAGGAGCCTCGGAGACTCGCATTGGTCGAACGCGGAAGAAACACGCGTTCATCTGTCGATTTGCTGATTTTTAGCAGTCCCACGCGTTCGTTTATTGTTATTATTCATATCGGAATATACAATAGTCGAGGTTCGTTAGGAATTCATTTCTGAGGAACTGTACGTTCGATCGCTTTCGATTCGCGACACCGCGAATATACATTGCTTATACTATAGTCGAACGCAGGACAAAGCCTCGGCTTTCGGCGAAAGTTTCCGATGATCGGGAACGAACGCCGATCGACGGTAGGAGATCATTTCAAACTAGTTTCGCATAGTTACGCAGGAACGTTCGATGGATGAACCACGTGTTACTTTTCTTCGCATACATTTACGTTAAGTGTATCTTATGTTTGCGTGTTAGTGAAGTTTATCTGTTCGATATTCCTGTTTAAATATACCCATTCGATCTATTATTCCAATGAAAACTATAGCGGATAGTTTCGTTATCCATGTTTCTGACTATACAGGCAAATTCACAGAAATATATTCGTGGTAAATAGCACCTGAAAATACACGAAAAAAAAAGCTGTTACGAAAATCTCCACGCGCAGAACCGTAAATCACGCGGTACCACGGGATCGAAGACGACTAAAGTTACATCACCGACGAATGTCAAACATGCCCCGAAGACGAGGAAGTGATTTTCCGGGCAGGAATTCTCCTTGGAAGAATCGAATATCTTTTCAACGAGACAATCGTTCTCGCTTTGTATTTCTTTCCCTGGAACAAAGGGAGCGTTTCATAAAAGCTCGAACGGTCGAGAACGCTTCCCCGCTTCTTGGCAAAGCAGATGCAGCACATTACCAATGTCCATCACTTACCACTATCAGCTACCATCCACCGGTTCTACCCCTCGCTAAATTATACCGGGCGTTTCTGTGGCATTAAGAGAATTGAGAGTACCGTTCGATCCGTGGAAAGGATCCTTCGTTTATGGTCCGGGTCGTCCCCGGCGGTGAACGCGAAGATTTTTCTGGAAAAGTGGCAGTGCTCTTTAAACGGGACTGCGAACAATTTAAAAAAAAAGGAATACATGGGAGAAAGGTATTTTAAGTTTTTTAATTTTTATTTTTAAAACTAAATTCTCATCATTCCCTATAAACTGATATTTTTGGAATTTTCAGTAAGAATCTTCCTGCAGTCAAAGGGTCTGCAATAGTGTCTATATTGGGTATATCAAGAGCCGATAATACGCTTAATGGATTCATCTATCTAGACACTGAAATTGTAATCAAATTAAATACAAATAGGCTTCGAGTAGATAAAGCGTCAATTCAACGTGTCAGTCGTATTACAACGTTTTGCCACCCGCATATAAAGGCCCTCTGCTTTCCACACAGAGATTATCTGCGAAAGCAGATGTCTGCTTTGTCAGAATATTCCATTGAATTCGGACCTGGACGTTCTAATTTCTCTATTGTTCGAGGTACGAAGGCTGGTTCGGAGATCAAGTGCCAAGGAACAGGAAGGAATCAGGAAGAGAAGGAACGCGAATTTAGGCCCTTTTATCTTTCTAGGCAATATTTATGTTACAATGCCATTTACGAAGAATTTCTTTCTACGAATCGATCGATCGACAGATCCCAGCCTCCATTAGTGCAGACGCGATACATGTGTAGTCTTCGATCCTTTTCAAGCGAGACACCTTCGGTCAGAATTTGCAAAATGGAATTTACATTCCACACGCGCAACCGCCGGAAACGTCTAGCCGCCTGTTGCTCGCAAACGTTCCAGTTGACTTCATTTCTACTCCTTTACTCGGTGGCACCGGGGTCTCGATACAGACCGACCTCTTGAAACGAGCCAATCGATTAGCAAAAATCGTCAGGAAACTCTAAGTAAGAGCAAGACGATGGGCATTCGCTGTTTGCAGACAAGAGGATCCTCTCGAGGCGTGCTCTCAGCGCGAACGAAGGAACCGATTCAAACAAAGAGGACGGACGTAATAGAGAACGAAGAGGGTTATGGATGGCTACGATCGGCTTTGGTGGAAACGTACGAATTTGTGTTTGGCTCGGTTCCACCGCGAGTTCGCGACCATCGTACACGGTTTTCCTAGGAAATTACAAACTCGCCGAATTTCGATCGCGAACCACGAGAAAGAAACAAAAAATCGTTGAACGATCCGTGCGCGAACGGTGTTCCCCTTTAACTTTCGAAGCTCGGCAACTTCTTTAACTCGATTAATCGACATTAATTACTCTTCCTGCGTTGTGCGCGCCAACTACCTTTACCTGACCCGCTCCATTCTCGTTAACTGATTCCACGGTTTGCGTCGTAAAATACATTTTCGTCGATACGCGATAAGTATACAGGACGCTCCAGAAATATCGGGACGAATTTAATTGGACCGTAGACGAAACGAAAATAGACGAGATCCCTTCGTTGGTTGCTTCGACCTCAGGTTCGGATACTGCTTGGCAAAATATCGGGATTAAGAAGGTAGGAGGCAAAATTATTTTTCAGGCAATCGCGAAGCTGCCTTTTTATGAAGTACTATTTGTTCTTGTCTTCGCGTTCAAAAATATAATTATCATTTTGGTAAAAGTACAATCTTGGTGATCTCATACAGCACAGGGTGTCGCGAGACACCCCGTATACTATTCGAGAGTGGAGCAGCTATTCCCCGAGGAAAGACGAATCGAATATGTATCTCCTCGGACAATTTCTTCATTAAAGATAAATTCCCCCGATACCTAACCGTACCTCTTCGTCGAGAGGAATTTTCGGATTCGAACAAATTTCGAATAAAGAATTAATTAATCGATTGTCTTAGGTGGCGCTCCTAGTTGGTCGCAGACTGCGCTACTAAATCCAGTGAAATAATAAGCCAGTACTAACCGAGGAGAGTAAGATATCACCCTCGGCAGTTTCTCTTTTTACCAGAAACTAACATCGCGTGGTTTCAGTGAACGACGCATCCGTAGCGAGGGTCCAGTGGCGATTGAAATATTAAATCGGCGGAACGCGCGTCTCGGTGGATACGGCTCGGTCAGCTCTCTCTCTCTCGGCCGTTCGATTTCGTAGCGCGCAGCGGCAGCAGAAGATGGTCTAGCGGACTCTAGCGCACGCGGGGGTGTGCGCGGCGCTCACCACGCAGAAATCAATAGGGCGTCGCGCGAGCAGCGTCGAAGCGGCACGTCGTCGCGCGACGTCGTTCCCCCGAACAGCAGCGACATCTTCCTCCGTTGTGTTTCCTGGGGGTCGACGAGCAGCTATCCGCCAGGCCGTCACGGCCGTCTTCAGGACCGATCCTGTGGCCCGTCTTTCCCACCGACAGCCCCGGAATGGCCGACACCGAGTTCGAGGAGTTCCGGCACTACTTCGAGAGGCTTCCCCAACACCTCAAGGCGCCTCTTTCCAATTACACGTGAGTACCTCACCCTTGTCATCTTATCGCGAACGAAATCGGCGATCCGCGATGGACACCCTCGTCCACCTCGCAATTTTCCTGCGACGGGTAAACAAATGACCCCGTGAGAATCTTGATTCAAGTTCGTTAAGCCAGGTTTCTTGGGTGCGAGTGGTTGAGTCCTTTGGGTGAGACGCTCGCTCTCGGCTCGAGAGGCATCGCCAGCATTGCGGGTAGCTACCTCGGGGCCCATGGAAATGACAAAATTCACCGACGCTAATTCTCACCGACACTAGGTTTCACTGACACCGATATTGACCGCGATATGCATTTTCTGCGTGGGGAATTATATACAGTCAGTCCCATTAGTATTCGCATCCTTGAAGAAATTTGTCTAATTCAAATGACAGGCTTCGTGGTTCCAAATCAATTTTCCGTTATAAATATGCACGTGAATAAACTTCCCACGTGTATATATTTATAATTACAAATTTATTTGTGAACTTGAAGCGTTCGTTTAAATTAGACAAGTTTCTTCGGTAAATATAGAGGGTACGAATATTTACGAAAACGACTGTACGCATATACATGTGTGAACTTCATTCGTGTACATATTTATAAGAGAAAGTTTATTTAGAAACTGGAAGCGTTCATTTAAATTAGACAAATTTCAATAAATATAGAGGGTACGAATACTTGTGTAACTGACTGTACGTTATTGTACATAAATTTTTAAATTAAATGCTGTCCGTAATTGATCGCAGAAAAATCGCGGTCGAAACTAGTGTCGGTGGTGTCTGTGTCGTTTCCACGGGACACGAATGACGCACAGATGTCAGAAATACAGTAGGATTACGTTTACGCGATACTTGGATAACCTGTTAAAAACGAGAATGGAATTCGTTTCTTTTTTAGTGGATATCCCGAGAGTATCCTTGAAAATTAATATCGGTGTTCTTTTGCAATGATAACACTCTCAGCCAAAGTGTCCAACACGATTTACATCCGCGATTAATCTCTGACGTTCGAAACGCGCGATTTTGGGGAAGGGTGGAAACACGATCGACGTACTTGTACTTATAATCCTTATTCGAATAAACAGTTAACGTATTATTTATCTGTATTACTTAAAAGTAAGACACATTTCGTTCCTGGGTGTAATCTTAGTCCACGTTCTTTGTTTCTGACTCCTACGATGTATTTAAAAAGACAACCAATTTTGGTCCTTTGTTCGTCCCGATAAAAGCCGCATTCAAAGTTACGCAATCAAGATAAGCTTCACGGTCGAACGAGTCCGGAGCTCATCCGAACCGTTCAGATGTATAAACGTTGCAGATAAATCATCGCGCGGCTTCCATTCGGTTCGTCATCTATTGTTCCAATAAAATTCTCTGTTCGTGACTCGTCGTGTTTCGAGTACGCAGGGTGGAACGAGTCAAGTCAGTTTCGAGTGGTCCGTGCAACAAGAGTACGAACCACCAAATAGGTTTCTCCTTGACGTGATAGCTGTCCGTTGACTATAGCACGGCTTCTTAAACTATAGCTCGTGACCCATCGAGGTATCGTACGAAACTTTCCGTCGTGAAAAATCTTGATGTAAAATTTTTTACTATTCTCAGATACCAGAATATTTGTAGCGCGTAAAAGATAGCGATTCTTTGGTTAGCGCGTGGTTGCTTTTTAAAATGATCACCGCGGTTCGATGGTCGAATTTACAGGGAGTATAAATTTTGTAAAACTGGGGCTCGTTAATAATTTCATCCCGTGAAAAGAGGTCGCTGGTGAAAAGTTTAAGAAACGCTCGGCTGTAGGGTGGCTGCTAAACTGCTTTCTGCCTACATCCAGACGCGCGAGAGGCACGTACACGATGATTCAAGTAACCGTTGGCTGAAGTTTTAAAAAATGCTTGGTGGAACTCCCATCGCGTATAGGAAACTGGAAATAAACTATGCGCTTTTTACGGGATAACTACATTTCTTCCACGAACTATACCCGAGTAATCCTTCGGAAATTATGGCCTTTCTCGACGGAGACTTGCATTCTCAAAAACCACTATTTCTACGCTTGATAATTACAATATTTGTTTCTAAATTAAAGAGAAAATTATTTAACCATAAATACACGTAATTTAAATGATTAATTATTCTCGTATTAAAAGTCACAATTGTCACCTGGAATCATTAATCAGTAAATTGCAATCCATCGAACCTAAACCTGTCCGACTACTCATTAATCATTCGTCGTGTCGTTGCTCGCGATCATGGTAAATACGATTCGATGATAGAACGTTATAGCAACATTTTTATATTCACAGGGAATTTATTTCTACGAGCGTCGGTAAGCTCGACGCGTGCCTTAGTGACGCTGCATTGCGTCTTTATCACCTTGCGTCCTTAGCACCGCTGCAGATTTCGCAGAGCCGAATTTCGTTCGAACCATGATCAACTTTTGGGATTTTTTATTCAACGAAGTACGCGACGCGTCAGACTGAAACTTTGTGTGCTTATTAATATAGTTGGAACTACGTTGCATGAATTTTTTCGTGTAATTTGCGCCAATAATGAAGGAGATATTAATACCACAGCCGAAAGCGTACATGTTTCCTTTCGAAGGGAGAAAATAGATTTGACGAAAGTTTCGTAACCCAAACTTGGCGCGAATATAAACGAAAACGATCGTTTATCTTTTACTCGAGACACGAGGAACTCGCTTAAAGACAGTACCGTCGTTTACCTGTTGGTCAACAGTGTTCGAGTGTCTCTCGCTCGTGACGAAGTGTTCTTGGAGAGTTTCGACGCGTCAGCACGTCGAGCTTTGATCCGCCTCGTCGTTTAAATGGATAATACTTAGACAGAAGACGTACCAACGCATCGGATCCTCTTCGAAATTTCAATCGAAACGAGACCTCTCTCTCTCAGTACAATACTATTACATATGTAATATGTTAATCCTTTGGTTCTCTGATTTATTTTGGGAAAATAATAACTGAGCTGAGTTTCACTGTAAATACGAGATTTATTATTTACAACTATTTACAACGTTTCGTTAACCTACTATACACTCTTATCTGTAAATACGAGAAACGACATTAAAAGCTATTATCTCTCATTGAAAATGAGTTTTAATGGCACGAATTGGTGTTGGGCACAGGCTGGTCCACGATGTAATGATGGATGATTCGCCGACCTCGTCGCAGGGCAGCGACGGTGAGGTCGGCAGACCTTGCGACGGAGTCCCCTGCGACTCCGAGGACGAGGACGTGGTGGTTATACATCGGCACGACAACCAGAGCGGGCACACTTCCGGGGACGACAGCGAGGACCTCGACCACAACTGCTCCATCGTCGCCGACAGCGACTTTAGGTTGGTAACCTCGTAAGTGTAGATCATTTTTCTCTTTCTTGCCTGTGAATTGCTCTTGTCGTTCGATTCGGGTAGATACTTGACGAGTTCGAGTTACCCGTGAACTCTTTGGAAAATATATCGAATGCATGGTAACGCAATGACAAAACAATTTAGGCGTTTCGTTTCGAGGTAGTAGGGATTGAAAAATTAACCTCCTTTATGAAAAGTTATTTCATATAATAAATATTCTTATATTATTGTTCCTTAATGAGGCAAATAAGGATAATTCTTTTTAAGAATGACTGCGAAGAAAATTCCACAGTGTCATTTTTAATAAATACAATTTTTACGAACGTACCAGTTGTTTCTACAAGTTAAAGCGAATCGAGGACAAACACAGATGCATATTGCTCCGTACATATCCGCCGTTGGAGTATAAGTTTACTCGATCGTTCTAGCTTTTATCAGATAGAATTTCAGATAGCAGTCGCCATAGAATGTCCAATAACAGAGATGGACAAGATAGTTTGTCTATATATGGAAATTTCTAATAGCAAATGCTCGGTTAAAAATGTAATTTAAACAACGGTCTTATCTGCGTGAACTTTTCCTCGTTTCGTGCTCTGAAGTTACCTCTTGAAGCATCGACGTGCAATTACGATTCACCTCGAACGGCTCAAAATAATTGCACGTTGATCTTCACGCTGATCGTCCAATTATATTGTTCAGCATACGCTCGATTGGAAATTGACAGATAGTGTTAAATATTTGTACTTAGTCGTTCGATTTTTCTTGGATTACTTCAACGACCGATTCTTGTGATTTCTGCATGCAAGAAGGAATGAATTTTTATCTAACTAAACTACGACCTCTTTTTCATATTTTCACAAGGTTTCGATTATTTTTAAGTCCTCCTCCACTTTTATTTCTAGATAACAATATTCTTCTAATTTTAAGAATGCACCCTAGAGAAAGCATTTCTTTATATCGGGTAGCCATTTATACACTATTTTGTCCCTGCATTCGAGTTGATTCGCAATGTGATCTGCTATCGCGGAATCTTCCGTTGAATTTACACTTCGAAAGGCATGGTGAAAGGTAGCTTAGCTCACTACACGACTACCCTTGGGTGACATTAGCTTGTTCGGTGGACTGAGCAGCAGGGGTCGATCGGCAGGCGTCGGTGGACCAGGTCCAGGTGGAGGTATCACTTCCGGATCCGTTAACGGTGGCAGAGACAGCGTCGTCAGCGACGTAGGCGATTCCTGCTCGAGCTTGAGCTCCTGGCCTACGCCAGAACACGTGCCCTCGAATCGTCCAGGAAGCGGCGGCACCGAGCGGAGACGTCGGAGACTACCGGAGATACCTAAGACGAAAAAATGTAAGGAAAGACTCTTAGTGATTATTTCATTCTTCCTTCGCAAGTACTTTAATTTAAGGGAGGATGATTTTACCTCTAACTTATTTGTTCTTTATGTATAAATTTACTTACTTCAGAAGTAAAGTACTAAATCATCATGCTTTAAGATAGTTTTAATAAGATTTTCTAAAACAGTGACATCATATACAGCTTCGTGAAAATTATCTCTTTAATTCCCTTTCATTTCCTGGTAGATTTCCTATCAGCTTCCCTCCATTTCCTTGTATATTTCCCTTTAATTTCCCTCCATTTTCTGGTATATTTCCCTTTAATTTTCCTCTATTTCCTGGTATATTTCCCTTTAATTTCCTTCTGTTTCCGTGACATTTCCCTTTAATTTCCTTCCATTTCCTTGTATATTTCCCTTCATTTCCTGACATATTTCCCTTTAATTTCCTTCCATTTCTTTGTATATTTCCCTTTAATTTCCTTCCATTTCTTTGTATATTTCCCTTTAATTTCCCTTCATTTCATGGGATATTTCGTTTCACTAAAAATTCCAACAATGTTGCAAATTGCTCCGCTCAATATTGCAACAAAGTTGCAGAAGCTCAAAAGTTCAACAAAGTGCCAACTCAGAAGTTCGGCAAAATGTGACAAAATCCGAAAAATCAACTCGACTTTGCAACATTGTTGAATCCCGCGGGGAGCGATTTGCAACATTGTTGAATCCC